CTTATTTAATCTGGATCCTGCTGCTTGTTTTTAACTTACAAATTGCGTCCTCGTCTTTACATGCTCCTCAAACCTTTTGACCCCTCCTTCTCTTCATCCCTCCATCTTTTTATCCCTTCATCCCGTGGGAGATGTATCGATCAACCTGCTTCTCTCATTCCTTTCCTCCGGCAAGTGTTCCTAGCAACAGTTGCTAACTTTCCTTTGCTATTTAAACCACAATATCAGAAGCCCCATCATTCCTCTGGGTAAATCTTTTTTCCCCAGTCTCTTGTCAATGCAGCCAGTCTCTCCTCTCCTAAGTTCAGTCATACTTGAACATCCCTGCAAACAAAAATGCATCCTTAGAATCATTTCCATTCCTCATGGAATAATATATCCCTCTTCGACTACTTTCTCACACATCCAAGATGTCAGGAGTTCCGAGAGGAACACCTCACATCCCTCTCTCCAATGATGTCCCCAGACTCAATGTGGGAGGGGCCCCAAAGTGTTCCTGGGACAGAACTTATATGTAGTTCCTCTAGTTCTGGGTCTTCTTCCCATTGGGGCTTACCTAACAAACCTCAAAAGGAAAACACCTGAGGATTCTCCTGATAAGATGCTCTTTGCCACCTCAGCTCACTCTTTTCAAAGTTGAGAAGTAAAGGTATGAGTATAAGTCAAGCCACTCTTTGAAGGAAGCTTATGTCAGTCGCTTGTATTTGGGATCTCTATCTCATCCCCATAGGTAAAGGTTAAAGCATAGATGCACTAGTATGCTTCCTGCACACTGACTCCATGTAAAACATTACTTTAAAATTATATTTCTCTTCCTGTCTTCTTATTCCCTTTTGTTGTACCTAATCATGTGTTGACCCTTGGATTCCTCAATCTCCTTTCCCGCACCGTCACCTTTTCATCCTTCCTTGTTGCCTCCTTCTCTTCATATCTATCCTTCTTCATCTGTGGCTGTTCCTCTCTGTCGTCCATCGCTCAGTGTTTCTGCTTCCATTAGTGGGAAATGGAAAAAGTGACATCAGCTATTTGGTAAACGGAGAGAGATGGAGAGACAGAAAGAGACAGAAGATGAAAACTCTGGATGGAAAAATGAAAAGCAAAGGTCAAAAGAGTGACAGTGGGGATGATTGTAAAAGAGGGGAAAGGAAAACAGAGGAGGAGAGAGAGGAGCGGGACATGAGAGAGTGAATGAAAGACAAATATGGAGAGAGAGAAAGAGGTAGAGATCCATTAAAGAGAAAGTAAGGGAAAGAGGGAAAGGCCTCACCTCATTAAGCTCCTAATGCAGAGTAAATATACAGTCTAAATGGAACATAGACCACGTGTGTGTGCGCTTACTGTCAGGCTTCTCAGTGTATGAGAGCGTCCTCCAAATACTTTACTATAATACCCATCATCAGTAGGTGGAGATCTGGAATATCACAGTATAAATGCCTTAACCTCCCTGACAGATAGAGTTACCTCCTGGAAAAATAACAGGTTAGAAGGAGACAGCGATGATGTGTTTGGTTACAGACTGTGTTAAACAATAAAGCAACATCATGTGTTCATTGAAGGGCATCTCCAGATGGAAGCTTTTTGGTGAGGAATGAGTGGATGGATCAGAAACATATTTAGTTTGTTGAAAAGAAAAAACATCTGATGGTAGGGTGATGTCCTAGAGTTAGTATTTTTTGTGTTAGCCATTGGTATTTCCTTTGGAGTGGTTAAAAAATGTCTATAAGCAAATTCAAACAGTGGTGGGACCGTTTTCCAAAGGGATTATCTTGTTTCCCACTACCGAGCTGCAACGAATGGCTGCTGCCACTAGGCGGCGGGAAAGAAATAAGTAGTTAAAATAGCTGTTACATGTATAAAGAAATAATCAAGGGATGCTGATCTGTACAGGAAGCATTAACTATACGATTAGCTCATTTACATACCTGCAAGCATATATTCATCCAGGTCTCCATAAACAAATGCAATTACGGTAAATAAAGTATGTATACCTATCCTTTAATTATCAAAGAATGCTAAAATACATTTTATAAAAATAATTTAGTGCCTTTTCTGAGAAAACTAGATCTTTTCACATTCTCCCATAATTGCTTTTCTGGCGTCATCATAGGATATGCTCAGAGCAGTCCGGCCAACTTTGATTACAAAGTGTTTTTCTGAATTTAGTTGAGCTTTCTTTAGAGTATGCACTACATATAGTACCATAAAAGTACAATGCAAGACTAACATGAAACTTAAAATTACTACATCTATTTATATAAATACGCTGTAGGTACTGCAGGATCTAAATCCTATGACAGATCAGAGACGATATAACAGAAAATATAACATTTTTTTATCCCAGAAAATAAGTATTTGAGCTTTTAAGCATACTTTTTTTTTGAGTTCACCTACTATAATTATTTTTTTATATAGCACAATGAAGGATGATGCAGATGTATGTCTTGTTGCGCAAACGAACTAATGGTACGGTGCGGATTGGATAGCGAAAGATGGATCTGAAATGTGTGATTAGTTACAGTAGTTCTTCAGCGTTCATCTTGATAAGTGCTGTCCAAATAGTTCTAGCAATAAGGAAGAAGGTTGGATGAGCCTGTATGCTTCCTATCAGGATTTATTTTAGAACGGGCAGCTTGTGAGGGCCGTTGCTAGCGCTAAGGAGCTGTAAGGAATCCCACAATCCTTTGCATGATATCACATAGGAGCACAGCCCACCTTCTGGAAGTTAAAAATACATTATTTCCTCACGTGTACTTTTGTGACACTTGAAATTTCTGGATTTTCATATATTTTGTTTTTTTATAATGGAGAGCTTCAGCCTCTTGCAACATTTTGTTACCCGCATTTTTTTTTTGTTCTTTTTGAAGTAGCATCATCCATATGCTTTCTTGCTGCGCGATGACACCTGAAAGAGAAAAATCGGACCAGGATTTAAGACTTCCTAACTTACCCACCTACTGCTGAATCCACAAAAGAGAAACAAGCAAGAATTAGAAACAGATGCCAACAGATGCACTCTGATGAACTCAAATTGAGCCACGGTCTCTTCTTACAATCAAAGGCCAAGCAGCAACTTCACTACCATCTGCTCCGATGAAATGTTTTTGGTCTGCATTCAAGTTGATCTCATTGATGAGAAAACTAGTCTCCAATCCCTTCCTTAATAAATAACCAAAACCAAACCTTTCTTAAAGCAACACTGTAAAACATTTGACCCATGTATTAGCTTAAATTAAGATGCATTATTATTTTTTTTTTATTTCAATTAAATGATGAGTAGATAGCATGGTGTATCTATATTCCATACAGCCTGTTCTTCTCAAAAACTCTAACCTGATCAAGCATATTTTTGGTTCTTTGATGTAGGATTTAATGTAGAGGCAAAAATGTGGCCTTGCCTTTTCAACTAATTCCATGACGTCTAAATCTGCTGCTCCAAAGTGGTCTGCTATCAGATTCCAAAACACAGGGCCAGCCCAAGCTGCCATGAGGCCATCAGCAAAATTTGATTTGGTGCCTTCTGTTGCTGCCAATAATATCTATTGCTGCAATTAACAGTCTGATGATCAGATCATTCACAAACCTCCTATGCAATCATTGTAGCTCTGGCTGTGCCGCTTACCGTCTTCTATTTGTAATAATTTTCCAGTTTTAATTTTCATAAGTCAAATACTATGCAGTTTATTTTTAGTTTAGTTGGGCATGGTTTATACAGTAGCCCCATGAAACCCCATCCCCCTTGCTTTCAATGCACTTTGATAACCAAAGTTACCCATTTCAATAGTAGCTACAAAAGTAATCTTTAAAAAAAACGTAACTTTAACCTTCTAGCTAAATCTTGCACATAATCTGGATCATTACTAAATTTAAATGAAATTTTCCTTGGCATAAAGTGCATCTCTGGTAGAAAATGTCTTAAAATGCTTTCATAGCTCTTCAATTGATCTTGTTAACCAACGAACAACATTCCCTTTTCTTGAATTTTTTCTCTTCTCTAAAATCCCTCCAGACCTTTTTAGTCCAATGCTGAGGCTGTCAATACTCCCTGCTGCCACCATCTGGTTTCGTAGGGAACTGCTTGTTCCGCCAAATATCTCACAATGTCAGAGAATCTTTAAAATAATTCCTGTATCCAGATTATGATCTGGATCATCACCAAAAGTTTATGGATTGTCTTTGGCATGAGGATCACCTAAAATAAAAAAAAGTCATTAAAATCCGTCCTTAACTTTTCAAGTTATCCTGTACACAGAGAGACAGACAAACACACAAACTCTCCTAAAAATCTGGTGAAGATTCTCAGTCATCCAGGTCCATCAAGGTTTTGATGGGCTACTGCATAACACCTCGAACTCAACGCTATTCCTGACATTTTAAATTGAAAAATCTTCCTGGATGGGAAGCGTTTTCAAAATTGGAAACAAAGTCCAGTGGATTGTTTTTTGCACTGTCGAGTGCTTTTCTAGTTTGTTACTATATTTATATAGTCATAATCATGCATGTAAAAAAAAAAAAAAAGACAAACAAAAAAAAATCAAATCATTAATTATTCTTGTGGAGTCTAACTAACCAGTAGCACAGCACACTTATACCTCGGGCCAGCCCTGCCAAAGTAGACCATTTAATTCTAAACTGTGCAGTGCTGAAAGATACTTTCAGGAGCACTAAACCTGGAAGTCACAGATCGAGTGCTTCATAGTGGCTGAAAGTTACAGAGAGTTGCATCAAATATGCTATCATTTAGAAATAATATTATCAAATATTTAAATGACAAATTGCAATATATGAATCCCTTATCTTTTCCTCTCGTCATCCAGGAAGTCATTTTGTTCTCCATGAGGGAGGACTTGCAGCATCCAGTTAGTCAGATCCTGCTTGCTTAATGGATTTTTCCCCTGTAGTTCAATTAGTAATTATATGAGCTTATTTTCTTAATTACATAGTGCACAGCAGAAGTCATTTAATCTATATCAGTTTTTGTAAAACACCACAAGACATTGCAGTTCATTATAATACTGTATATTTGCAGTCATTTCAAACCCAGAGAACAGTGACAGACCGAGAAATCTCAGAAGAAAATAAAACAAAAACAAAATGCTGAATGTTGTTTCTATCTACACAGAATGTCCCTTTGACCCACGCCCCACCCGCCCCAGCCCATTCCCCTCCCTCATTCGTCCCTTACGCGCTTGAAAAAGGTAATCAACAAATGAACAAAACACACAGTGAAATAAACAAAGCCTTAACACAACAGTCTGCACTCAGATTAGGTCTGAAAATATAGGAAAGGTTTCTGGTTTTTGATGAGGAGCGCTTGATTTGAATGTCTGCAGAAACTTTATAATCCAAAAATCATCAAAAAGGGATTGCATTAGGGCAGTTTAAGCATCCTCTAGTTTAATCAGACACACACAAATTAAATGCTGACGCTTTTTTCTGCTTTTAGAACCAAAATGTGAAAAAGACTCAACATCAAGGAGCAGAATTTTCTGTACCTTTAGGAGGAGACCGTCTTTAAAAATCACTCCACTGTAATAAAAATTATTTTCTGAAAGTTTTGCATCATGTCAGAAACTGATTCCACATTTTTTATGGCGAATAGAAAATAGTTTTTACATTGAAAAGGTGCACCCAACATTTTCAGAGTATTTCCTCCTTCTGAGAGGAATTTAGAAAATGATTGGATAAAAAAAAAAAAAGAGATATTTCATAGAAGGAGAAAACAGGTGAGGAGAGGAGTCATGCAGAAAAACAAATACGGTGTTGAAAGAGTAGTTTAATGTGAAGACAAAAGAAAAGGGTCGCAAGTATTTCTATTAGAGGATGAAGAGTTCAAAGTTTAAAATTAGCCAAAGGGCATCAGAAGTTGCCCCATGAGTTCTTCAATGAAATCAAACGATGGAGACACAGATGGTCACAGGGTTGTTTTCCTTCACTTCTTCTTCAGTGTTTTTTAGTCATGGTTTTATATACTTTAATCCTTTTTCATTTCCCATTTGGACCTCCTCTGATTGGCCGATCCAACATTCAGCCAATGAGGTTGTGTCTTTTTTTTCCTTAGTATAAAACCGCATCCATGTGGTCAGGACCAATCAGAAAGAGTCTAGTGCTGCAGATCAAAGCACATAATTGGACTGTTTCTCTCAGTCTGTCCAATTAAAGGTATGTCTCATCTTTTCCTTTCCAAACATGGTAGGAGCGGATGTGGTTGGTCCATTTTCTTCATGGATCTGTGTTCTCAGGAATGATGATGTATCAATCAGTTTTCCAAACGAATGGGAGACAAAAGTTTGGGAATAAGTTCAGAAAACCTGGAATGAAGGGAGTAAGGTTTGTCTAAAAAGAGGAATTAAGAGAACCCCCAAAACAAGTCCAGTGTGTCTCATATAGTAGTCTCATCATTTTGTAGCCAAGTGAAAAAAAGTCCCATCCGTGGGATGCTGTCGCAGTGATATAATCCAGTGGATGCTGTATTTCTGTTGGAGTTTGTACAGGAAGGGGAGGTGAGTAGGTTCACGAGACGTGCCGTTATGGTTCTAGAACATCATGGGGGTTTTCAGGAACGGCCGCGACTCTGCAGAAAAACACAAAGAGACGACAACCCAAGGAGATTTAATAATGTTTATTTTAGCTTAAACAATAATCCTCTTTAAGGCAAACTGAGTCTGAAGGTGCTTTATTGACTTTTATCACAAAATCCTGGCGTTCACACATTCAGCTTGAGAGCAACCTAACGCTAAGAGGTTTTATAAAGCAAATGGTGAACAAGAAAAGTTGCTGCAGATTTTTACGAACTTTTTCAACAGTCTTAATAAAAAAAAACTGTTTGTACAAGTGTAAAAAAATCTTCACCTAATGTTCTCACTCTATTCTGCTTTAGAACGACTTTCACGCTTTTGATTTGTTAGAAATCAGTTTTTTTCTAAAAAATAAAATAAAACTTCTGATAGCATTGCTTTTTTCCCCTAGTGATTCTGATTTGTAGAGCAGTAGAAAAATTATCTACAGATAGATTTGTGCTCATCTTGAGGTTATGCTCTTAAAACAGAGAATTATTTTTGAAGAATTTTCCTGCCTTTATCTTTCTCTCCCCAGTAATTGTTGTCCCCTCTTTCTTTCTCATCTCTCTTTCCATCTCTGTTGTATTTGTTTTTATTCCCTAAATCATTTTAATAAAAACATTCACATGCAAGTATCAAGCGGAACCTTATGGCAACAGCTATTATGGTCTCCATGTAAAAGTAAAGCTGTTTGGCTATACCATCTCTATGACCTTTATTCCCAAAGCTATAATAGCAAAACAGGACACAAAGAAGAATAAAAAAGAACAGATAATTATGAATAATTTACTATTATATGCAGGTCTGACATTAAAATACAGTAAGCTAATATTTAAAACATCCCTTGCCTTTTTTTAATTAGGGGGTCAACCTTTTAGATTGTATAAAAGCCATTGGGACTAAAAGGGGACCAGAAACAGAATCAATAGACATTAAGTGGATGATAAAACCTACAGAATATAATGTATTAGGGGTGTAACAATACATCAATCCATCACTTAAGTCATTAATGATTGAATTACATTGATGCAAAATGAAAACATAAATTTATATCATCATCTTCAATGGACAACTTTATTTTGAAATTCACAAGGCACAATTCTATAGCAAACAGGTGATTTCTTATAATTTTCTTTTTATTACTAAAAGAAAGCTGATGCTTGTAAGAGCTTTGAAAAAAAAAAAAAAAACATATATATGTTTTTTAAATACGAGTTGATATTAAATTTAAATTATATGGTTAGATGGGCAGATGACATATCGATCGCAGACTGAATTCATATACAGTATTGACCCTTTGTGATATGAGGAATCATTTTACTCTCATCCAAACTAATTTCTAACATTATATGCTCCAACATTGGTAATATATATCACCCTTATTATGTACGACTTCACAAAGTAATTGGGATTTTTCCATTTTAATCTCCTTATTAAATCGAAAATGACAGATAAACTGACATACATGGGTTTTAGTGCGCTGGTATAAATTTACTTTCCTTATAGAGAATCAAATGAGACAAGGTTGACAAAGTTTTGTCTGGGGATTAAATGTCAAATACGTATCATGAAGCAAAAAATTTAGATTGAGATACAGTATAAAGCTAGAAACACTTCTTACTGCTGCTGAAAATCTCTGCTATGAAGAGTTAGCACAAAAAGCTAGCTAATGCTAGCTCTCAGCTTTCTCTTTGATAATTTGGTTTGTGTAATTATGCGTAACATCACATGAGTAGCCTATTTAAGTGCTCTTTCCGAGTGAACAAAACCTCCATTCCTCTGGTTAGACTCATTGATTCTATTTTACATTTTTCTGTAACGAGGAAACGAAACAGATCTATTACGCAAGTATTCTGAAGCTTGGTAAATAACATATCATGTTATGCAGCATTTAATGACTGCTTTTATGTTTTCCCGCTGTAATTAAATCGGGTTTCTCTTCTTCAGCAGCTATAGGTTTCCTCCATGAACCTGTTTAGCACCTCTATCATGAGTTGAAGGCAAATTAAACTGAGAGCGAAAGGACTTGTTTAAAGATATAGTGGAGGATGTTCTTTTTCCAGGTGGATCATCTAAATAAGTGGTCCTCTTAATTGTCAATCATTCTGGTGATATGTTTACGTAAGGCCATCTTACGTGCTTGCCCCGTTAGATATCTTTTCTGCTTAAGCGCACTTTCAGACAGTCATTGAAGCACACCTTTCCTACTGCGGTTCTTTTAAAAAGTGTCTAAGAAGTGCATGAGAAGAAACGAAAGAATACTTTGCATGGGAAGCTGTCCTCGTAAAGTATTATGCGATTTGCTGTCACAGCGGCCTGTTGTCGCCATAGGCTGCCGCTACCCGACAGCGGCGAGTAATGTCAAAGATTGCGCAGGCACCGTGTGGTGGACGAGTTATGTGACCAACGGGAAGCAAAAAGTAGTGATCATCTGTCCAAACGGTCAGTTAACTGAGTTCACTAGAAATTCCACTACATAGTGCCCACTCATAGTCCGCCCTAACCCCTTAATCCCTCAATGGGATTAAGGGGTTAGGGCGGACACCCGGACACAGTAAGCTTGTATGAGCTATGAGAACAGCAACTTTTAAACAGAGCATGCATGAGGAGAAATGGGCTCCTGGTTTAATAGGTGTTCCCTCTCGAGAGCAGGTAGAGGGTTTATGCATGTACATTTTTTTTTTTAAAGTAGAGAGGGCGGGTCTGTTAAAAAAATTGCGAAAATACCTTTAAACGCCTTACTTTTATCATTCTAGTGAGCGAAACCCTCCTTACAGCTGCTGTTACAGGAGGTTTAACCATGAATGAAGTTTTCATTGTAAACTAAATGAGCTTACATCTGCATAGGAACACTCATCATAATTATTTAAAAAGGAAGTAGTGTTTTCGTTCCCCTTTATGCAGTATCCGTTTATGATAAGAATCTCATATCTCTAGTTTTGCCATGGTGGACTCCTCCCCTCCCTCCTCTCTTTCTCTCATTTCACCTCCGTCGCGCTCCTTCCGCTCCCTGTAGTGCTGTTGCTGCACCCACCCACACATTAAACACACTTGTACATACAGCAGAGACGCTCGCACACCTTCCTCTCCCCGCGGTGTCATTGTTTTCTGCGAACGTTGCAAACTGTTTACATTTCTGCATAACAGCAACCATAAACCTGCCCTCCCTCCTCTTTCCATCTTTTTTTTCTGCCCTCTGCTACTTTAACACTCATCTTCCCATGCTCTTTGTCATCTTTTTACCTCCTTACTTTGCTTTTTTTCATCCTAAAGACATGAATGAGACTGTACACATTGGAATATAAAACTTTCTTAAATTTTTCTCTTTCATCTTACGCTCACTTCCTCCTTCATATTCCCTGCCTACCCTCCTTTTCATCCTCACATCTCCTGCCCTTCCCTATTTTTATCACTCCACAATCCTCTCAAACCCCCTCCTCTCCTCTTTCATCCCTCTCTTCTACATGCATCCTATCCTCTTCTTCACCTCCTCTTTGCTCCCTCCTGTCCTCCTCCTCTTATTTTTAACCCACCCCATTCTTCTCTCCGTCCTCTCCTGCCCTCTTTTACATTTTCCTCCCCTTCAGGCTTCTTTTTTTTTTTACTGTTCTGAAAACGTAAAGAGGTGCGTGTGCCGATCCCCTCAGTATTGACCTTAAAACTCCAATCTATAACTTTCCTCTAGTTAAAAATACCAGAACATCAGCCTGGCTTCATCACGACTTTACAGCAGGACACTTAGGGATTTGGCTAATGATGCTTTTTATTTTTGGAAACCAGTGAAAGCTAGGTCCATAAAACCCCAGCAAACACCAACATGACATCCAACATGTGTTACAGTAGTTCAACACTAGCCTAAAACTAACAGACAAAATTATTTCTGTATCTTTTTAACCTGAAGAGATGCTAATTTTGAGGAAGATGAATTTCAACAAATTCCTACAAGAGACTGAAGTTTAAATATTACCTCTTAAGGCTGCTTTAACTGTGCAAGTATCTCTATCTTTATGGAAAACCTTAGGTATGAAGAGGAAAGCTGCCAGAGAGTCTTCTAGTTACAACAGCTGTCCTCTGGGACAATATCAATTGATTTATGTGAGTAAGGATTGTTTTTTTTGTTTTTGTTTTTCAAATAAATGCTGAAGTGGATTTTTCAGATGGAAATGTGCAGCAATGTCCCAAACAGCCAGTAATTAAAATAAATAAATAAATAATCCTGCATTTTATTTGCTAATCATATACTAAGAAATCCAATTCTTCTCCTTCACATTGGATAGATGGCTACTAACTCTTTATGATTTCTGTAAATAAAACAGTTGTTTTTCAGTTAATTTAACAGGACAAGCTTCCAAGCTTTGATATATAATCTCATAATCCGTAGATTAAACTCCAAACTCTAAGACAATCTGGAGCAAAGTGTCAAACTCCCGTCCTCAGTGAGATGTTTCCTCAGTTAGGTCATGAACAGGACTTTGAGAAATGGGACCAAATGATGAGGACACAAATTAGACAATTGATTCAGGTGTGTTGGACTAGGAATAAATCTCAACGTAGCAGTAAGGACTAGAATATGACACAATAGAGCATGGATCAGAGGGTGTTCCCATATTACATAGGTGTTACCTCCACCTATAAACCCAGAACATATAAAATTAGGTGTTTTTATTTTCAAAATGATGTCTTTTATATGATCATTTTCCAGCGTGTTTGTGTAAATAACTTTGTTGATGAAGATTCTCAGTCATCCAGGTCATAGTCATTCCGTAAAACTTTAAAAACAATCCACTGGACTTGGTTTCCAAGATTTTAAGACGTTTCGCCACCTCTCCAGGAAGCTTTCTCAATTCAAATGTCTGGATCCGCAGTGAGTTTGAGTCATTATGCAATAAATACAAGGCCTTGTCTATATAAAGACTCAAACTCACTGCGGATCCAGACATTTGAATTGAGAAAGCTTCCTGGAGAGGAAGTGAAACGTCTTCAAATCTTGGAAACCAAGTCCAGTGGATTGTTTTTTAAACTTTTGTGGAATGTAAATAACTTTATTCACATCTAATCAGATAGTTGATTCGAGGCCAGTCTACCTATAATCTATTATCAGAAATATAAAATGATGAAGATGTAATATAATAAAATCACAGCTAGAAAAAATAAATCAAATATTTATACATTTTTCTTTCAGTTTTTTCCTCCCCCTCCTCACCTTCTCTCTGTGTTGCTTTTAAACATGTTGTTTTGTCTGTAGGATTCACCTGCTATTGGTTCTGTGTGCGCAGGTTCCTGTATGTGTTTGGTGTCCCGGTTAAAAATGACTGCGCTGACCTGCCTCGTTAGGAGTCTATCAGCGCCGTAGAGAAAATGTCACCAGGTCTCAGAACAAGGTTGCATTTTTCAACTCTGTCCCAGGAAATCTTACCGCTTCACCTTCCGTTTTGTTCATTCTCTGCCTCATCCTTCCTCATATTTCAGGTCATCTTCATTATCATTCTTTTATCAATTTCTTTGTCAGCATTCATCTTTCTATTTTTTCCTTAATAATTCTCCTCGCCTATCTTTATTTCCTTGTTTTTTCATCCTTCTTTCTGAACCGTTTCTTTCTCTCCTCCCTCTTTTTCTGTGAATGTTTCCCTATTACCTTCTCCAGAACTTCTTCCTCTACCTTCTACATTCCACCCAGATTTTTCCTGCACATTCTCACAGGCTTCTCGTCTTTTCCCACTCCCTTCTTTCTCCTCCTCTCTTTTTGATTGTAATGCAATGTCTTTCTTTGTATTCAGCAGTTTTCTCTTCACTCGTTAATTAAGAGTGTAGAAGGTGAGAGGCAGGGGAGGTGTGTATGTGTGCGAAGCTAAACCACCGTAGGTGCAAAATGCTTTTACGGCAGGAGGGATGAGTGTGTGTTTCGCTGTGTGTGTGTTACGGAGAGAGAGAGTAAGAGGGGTCCTACCGGGCCAATCAACATTAATGAAATCAGGTGTGTGTGTGTGTGTCGGAGTGCTTGGCTTGCAGAAGAGAGGGGGATCTAAAAGGGGTCTAAAGAGGAGTGAGAGCTAATTAGAGCTCCCTGTCTCACAAGTATGCGGATCAAACACACACCTACAGCGTGTGAGCGTGTGTATAGATGTTATACGCTCGCAGAGTTTCAGGTGAAGGTTTTCAATGTCAGGGAGGACTGAGCACAGCTGGTGGAAAGACAACGACACATGCATACTAACACACGCATCAGTACTGTACCTGTGAGGACTCTTGATGGCATAATATGTTTTTCTAACGCTAAGCTGAAGAAACCTACGAAATTATTCTTCCTTCTGATAAAGACTGGTAAAAAACTTCAAAATAAACTAAAGCATGATTTTTTTTTCTATTCAAGCTAATTTTCAATTAACTCTGGTTTAAAATCAGTGATTTTGCTTTTTGTGCTAAGATGGCCCATTAGGCTGTACATTAAGGCACAGAAATAAGTGTATGAGTGTATCTGAAACCAGTTGGACACTTTTTTTTAGATGTTACTAAGTCTGCAAGGGTATCCTTAAAAAGAACCAAGTGGATCTAGGGTAAAATAAATAAACACATAAGAAAGTGATTCATCCTAAGCATGGTGGAGGATCTGTGATACTGTGGGTTTGACAACCTTGCATGTAACATCAAGAAATTCTGTAATGCGAGGGCACTCTAATGAAAATCTGCCATCTCCTGATAGTAAACTATAAATAAATGACCTTTCAAAAAGATAATGACCTAAAAGAGGTGGGGAAACGATCAGACACAAAATCAATTTTGGTCCATGTCCATCTCAATACTGAAAATAACCTGTAAGACGAGCTGAAGGGAGAAGATCATAAACAAAGACTCAGGATGATCTTGAAAGATTTTGCCAAAAGAAGTGATCAAAGCTATGTTTCTTTCTATTTGCTCCAGGCCTGTTTGATGTAATAAATGGGGACTAAGTGCTCTCCTCTAGACAAAAGGTGGTCAGATGAATCATAAAACGGTCAACTGCCAATCAGCTCCAGTGATCCAGTTGAAAAAAAATATTTTATACCTCATTCAACTAAAGTTTTCAATTTTCTCAGAAGAGATAAAGCTACTGTTGTAGAAAATGACTTTATATTTTCATCTTTTTAAACATCTTTACATGAGTTGCTGTTAAAAACTTTATTTAAACACTCCATTTTTTTGTTTTTTTGTTTTTTTACAACCTCTAGATAACTTGAAAGCACTAACTGGACCATGCCTTCTTGTTTCTGGCCCTAAAGGTTTGAAAACTGCATAATCACTCCTATAAATACACTCGTACGCTAAAAAAAATATTTTAAGACACGTCACATGTGTGTCTCCTTAGGTACACATCAAAGAGAAGCCATGATGTCTGCCTAATGTCTCCACTAATCTAAATGGGGCCCCGACACAGACATGTGCCCACCATGTGTTTGTGTGTCTTTAAAACAGTGCCTTTGAACGTGCTTGTGTACAGTATGGTGTTAATACAGGAAGTGTGTGTGTGTATGTGTTGTGTTATTTGTACCTTGTACAGCACCGTTGTCTTGCTGGTTTCCATTAAGTTCAGGTTTGTCCTCGGCTACAGCAGCGTCTGGTATGAAACACAGAGACAAGACAGAGTCTCAGTGGGTCGGCCAATAAAAAACAAAAAGCACCTTGTTACGGTGAGCTGGGTCTGCAGGGAAACCGGAGCCACAAAGGAACTAATCATTTCAAACAAACACCAAAAAAAGAGCCAGTTAGCAGGTTTGTATTGGAATATTTACATGGTCTTACACTACGATTAATACGAACAAATTAAACACAATCATTAAAGATGTAAATTATGCTTTTTAATGACCATTTTTTTATAGGAAGAAATAACTGGAATAATTAAAAAGTATCAGTTATTTTCTTGATATTATTCGATGTCTAAATTAACAAGCAAAAAAATGGGAAAAAAGAAAAGTCACTTGCTTTTAATTTGAAAATTGCAATATCTATAAACATCATCTCCTTAGAAATGTATATGAGCATTTATGTAAATATAATTTTAGGAAGTTAGCTTCGTCAAAAATGATAAGATCAAGGAGACTAAAGGCATTTTTAAAAATGACATTGTTGGGTTTTATTTAAAACGCTGGGATTTATTTTGATTGGAGGAACAGGCAGAGTCTTTTTTAAAGACATATTTGAGACCTGTTTCCAACTATTGAGTGCCATGGATACGATGGATACTCCTTACCAAACCATAATTCATCCAATCCATCATTCATTAGACAGTCACAGTGCGTTGACCGAGGTGCTTCCAAAAATCAGTTTACACAGCAGAATACCAAGCACAAGATAGAAGGACACAACTTAAGTTCATAAACATAATATTGAAATAGAAGTGTCACCAAATATTGAAGTGGTAGAAGTCTGTTGAACTAAAAAGACTAAAGCTTTAAATTAATTCTTCTTCTGACGGAAGCTGATTTCAGAGTTGAGGTACAACCATAGAAAAGGCACCAAAATTATACTTTGGAAAAGTTGGGAGGAGCTAATTATCTTACTTCAGAGACATAGAACAGGTACTGTAGATGAAATCAACAGCTCTGATAAATAAGGGAATGTAAGGTTATTCAGCGTTTTTAAGACCAGTAATAAAACATTAAAATTTATTCTAAAATGAATAGGAAACCAGTGTAAATGGAATAAATTTGGGAAATATGTACCCATGTGGCAGTATTACATGGTTAAAAGGCCCAGGAAGTTGGAGGTGGCTCAGTAAAGAATGGGTAAACCAGCATAAAGAGCATTACAATAGTAAATTCTGGATCAGACAACAGCAAGAACAGCCTTCTTCATGAATCCAGTTGTGTGTCTGCCTTGAAATCTGAAACCCAGGGGGGCATCACTCCAAGGTGGAGACTACTAAATGCCCAGGGACCCATGCTGGTGCAAAGAGGCACCCGGCCCAACACAGAATGAACCATTGACGCACCAGCAGACAGAGATACTGGTTACCTGCAAGGAGCATCAGGAGGGGAAGGACCCCCCTTATACTAATGTTTGGGGTTCAGGATGGCCCAGTGGATAGGGGCAGCCAAACATTCAGGCAGACAAGAAGGCAAAAAGGTTTTCACAGACATCAAGTCGCATTCAAACAATCCCGCCCTTATAACCACACACACCCCTCACATTCCTGTAAGAATGGGTGTTGGGTTCTAGGGGGTTTTGCCACCCCGCTGTGGACCCACGTGGCTAGACGTCCCAAACCACCACATCCACAAAAATATTTTGTACCCATGGCTGCAATGCACCCGCAACCCAACGCCCAAGGCCAATCACAGCATCCCAGCAATCCGAACACAGGTGCCAGAAAGACCCCTGTGTCCCACCCACTTGAGTGAAGTTCCACATGCTGGACCAAAACATTGAAGGTCAGGCACCTAGATAGAACCCAACACAAACTGAGAGGCATCTGACCATGCTGGTAAGCCAACCCCCCACAAACAACGGGGCAAAAGCATAAAGCCATACCTCCCATCGCCAACGAACACCTTCCAGCCAAACCCCTCAAATCAGAAACCGATGACCCCCCCACAGCATGTGAAGAAGATACCAAAGCTAAGATCCTAATGCTAGAAAGCACCAGCAGAACAAAAACACCAGCCGAGCCACGATCAACCATTGAGATAAATCAATTTCCTATATCTGATGGGTAAATCCCTTCAGAAAGCACATGAGAACAAACAGTCACTCTCCCTCCATTGCAGCCAAAGTCATAGCATGTGGAGGAAGGAAGACTCTAACATTAGTACTGTAAACTGTCCTTTTCTGAAGCACAGCAGAGATAGATGAACTGCCGCTTTACTACCAAATGTGATTACTCTGTTTTTTATGGAAGTAAGAAATACAAACAGCAGCATCTTGTAGCTCTGCTTTAAGAGCTGCTTCAGTCAGCAGCAGCAACCAATGTCGGTCTAGGCAGATAAAAAAAAAAAAAGAGATAACCAGCAGGCACAATAGCCTATGATGACAAAAGAATAAAACAATACCATGTGTATGTTGTAAAAAAAAAAAAAATAGAAGTATCAGAGACATAAAGAATTCAAATAATATAATGGATCAGTAAAATAACCTAATGGGGGAGGTCCTACCATTCTTGGAGTTGTTGTTGGTGGCATGAAGAGGCTCAGGAGATGGAGAGGAAGAGGATGAGTGTTTGAGAGCATCCTCGACTCTCTCCCTCCTCTTGGATTCAAACTCCAGCGCTTCCTGTAGCTTTCTCTTTGCTTTCTTCTCCTTCTTCAGTCGTTTTTGGATCGAAGCTGGAGAAAGACATAGATTTAATTTGACATTTCTGGTAAAGAAGAAACATCTGCAGTAATTTCTTATGACTGTAATCCTTTTTTTTATGACAGATCATAAACAACCTCTGCTTTGTAGCTCGGAGTTGAGCTGTCGTTCCAGACTCTCACGCATCTCTCGTTCTCTGTAGAGCTCCATCTTCAGCTCCCTCTTCTCAGCCTGGATCTGTTTGTCCTGCGCTCGGGCGTTCTCCACGGCCACCTTCAGCAGGCCCTGAACAAAGATGTTTGGTTAGTAAATGACAAGCATATTCTGGTTGGAAAATCATTCTTATTTTAGTAAAACATTTCCACAATTTAACATCAAAGACACGAGTCAATGAGTCAATGCAATCAACTGGTTCTCCTTAGATAGAAAACTTTGAATCATTTTGACTGGATGATCTGGTGAACTTTAAAGTGCCTTGAGATGACATGTGTTGTGAAATGGCGCTATATTAATAAACTGAATTGAATTGAATTAAACTCCTTCTGGGTGATTATGAATCACCATGGGAGAGAGCCACATCCAAAAATGTGAGCTTTCATCCATGAAGCTGACGATGTGGAAACATACCAGGTAAAAGCAAGAAACTCTCCACACAGTGGCGGCTTTCAGTTTATTCTGTGGGAATCTGAATCCTTCAAAGATCAGTACCAAAGAGGCATCCTAATTAGATGCCTGATATTCCAATAGAAACAAATCTCCAGTGTATCCAGCCATCATCTTTGAACACCCCCAGGAACTGGAATCCTTCCTCTTAAGGCAGAAACCAGTTCAAGACCAGGAACAATCCCTATTACGCCATAACTTTGCTTGCTCTTTGGTATGTGCACCTTTCTTGTAACCTGACTCCGCCAGATGGATTTGCTCCGCATATCCACCTGGAAACCTTCCGTTGCAGTAATTTTGGGAAGGGGCGAAAGTACTGGTTAGCTGATTGGCCTATGTTGGTGATAGACGGGCCAAATAAACCATTCAGATCAACGAAGCATATGACGTACTAACAGACCGACGACGGAAACACAACCACAAGCTAGGCTACTCTTGCCGAAACCAGTTGTGAGAAGAGCAAAAACATATTTTCCTCTGAAAAAAGCCTCCAGAGCAGTGATTTGCTCTTCTTTCAGTGAAGAAATACTCTGTAATTCCGATAAAACTTGCTCGATAGCCACGCTAACGCTAGTATCATCGGCTGAAGCCGCCATGTTCTTCAGAGTGAACTGTCGCACTTCTCGTTGCGTCACACCTCAACCCGCCTCAAAGCCAACGCTGATTGGACTTTCGTTTGGTGAACGGCTCCAAATTTTCTTCAACGGAGAGTCTCCAGACTGATTAGGGAGTGAAATCTTGAAAGCTTGCGAGATCAGGATGGTCTCACGAGGCTACCTTTCTTGGTGATTGAAAAAAGATGGCCAGAAGACATTTCCGACCTTGACTATGTAATGGCATTAAAATGATTTTACCTGTATGTTGGTGAGCAGAGTCTCCACTGACGACAGGCCGTCAGCAAACAGGAACGGAGCAGGAAAACCAGGAGGCAGGGTCTGACCCAGCGGAGACTCTTCTGTTTGAAGAATTGAAAGGAATATATGTTAACCCAAAAGTTTGGTAGTGATTCTCACTTGAATAAAGAAAACACAAAAGATTCTGTATTAATGTAGACATTATGTTTGAAATTAGAATGATTTGGCAAAATTCCAGCTATAGGAGCAGTGAAGTTCTTCCAATTTGATTCATGTTAAAAATATCTTCTGAATTTAGAAACTCAAACTAACAGGATTTCTGGCATTTTTTGTCACAAATGCCTGATCTTATAACGTCCAACAAGTAAAAAATGTTATTTCCAGCAAATTCCAGCTTTTAAATGTCAGAATAATGCACCCATATAGAAATTGATCCCTTTTTGTTTGCAAATACACAACTTTTAAACATCAGAGAGTAAAAAAATTAACAGTTTCGACTTTTTTATTTTTGCCTTTACTGTACGAAGGCCTCAAAACTCTGTAATAGAGAAGCATTTCTACTTTTTTTCAAAATAAGCTGAGAGACTTTCAGAAACTGGATTATTTTTCATGAAGTGTAGCAGTCATCAGTAAACTTTATGAAATGTTTGTGTTTTCTAACGTTACAAGACAGCGAAGCGGCAACACAGAAATCAATTACACACACACTCAGAGGTTGTTAGTATTCTGACAATCATGTGGGGTGCTAATTGGCAAGGATTAAAGACATCCTTCATGTGTATGCGTGTGTTCATCGTGAGTGCGTCACAGTGTCTGCTCAGCCCTTAATGCCTAACACTCCGACAACTGGGTTAACTCTGCTGTGAAATTAACGCTGATTAAGATGCACTCTAACACACACACTCCCTATCTGCCACTTCATCCATACATCCCTTGACTCCACCATTACACACTCACTCATTTTCTAAATCACTTTTTTCCTCTGCAAGTCTTCTCTGCATCTTCATCTGTCTTCTCCCATGTTTCCCCATGCTCTCAAGTTAGCTTTAATGCTTTTTTTCCAAATAGTTTCTAACTTTCCCAACAGTTGCCCTAAAATTCCTTCATTGACATCAAGCTTTATTTTTTTTTTGCCATTTTAACCTTTTACTTAAAATTATTTGGATATCTGAAAGATCAAATTAGTTTTATTTCCTCTGAAGACCTCTCCCTTCTCTTTTATGTGTTCTTTCAACTTTTCCTCCCATTGATTGGCTTCAAAAAGGCGCCTAAATAAATACCATGCGGGAATAAAAGAACAGCTTCAATGAAGAAAAACAAAGGACGTATTTTTTTTAGCCGCTTTTGTCAGCTTTTACTTTGAAGAGTTGCTAAGTAGAGTATTAAAACTTTGACAGGTATACAATGCTTAATTAAAAACTTAGGAAACTTGTTCTAAAACAGACTACAACCTAACTTTCATTTGCATTAAATTTTAGCTTTTATTGTTTTTCATGATCTCTTAACAGTTACTGTAGATGAAAAAAGGTGATGGGCTTTTCTCTGTTTCTCTACTTGATTGATTGGTAAAGTAGTAGCCATTCAAAATTTCCCCACTTTCCTTGATGGGCCCTTGGCTGGTCCTCTACAATTCCTTTTCAAACATACATTTTGGTACTAAAATATTCTCTTTCTTCCTTTCATTCATGATTTGTGGACATTAAGATCTAAAAAGAAGCACTTTCTACTGGCCAGACCCTGCAATTCAATGAAAGGGTGGAGTCAGAGTAAAAAAAAAAAATAGGCAAGAGGGGAGCGGCTGGAAGTTGGAAGGGATTCTGCTGGGAGTTACCGGCCAATCGGCTGGCATTCGACTGGGAAGGGCCATTTGAATGGCCGCTACGGTAATTTGTAGGTATTTAATAGTACCTGAAAGCCTTGAGAATTTAGTTTGTAAACCAGGGAGCAAAGCTGGAGTCTAGACACACCACCCTGCGGTTTCTTTACTGCTTTTGCCTCCTATTAGTCTTAGATTCAATGAATTTGACTGCACTGCATTTTAACTAGACCGGAATCTGACTATAAAGGTCCCTGACCTTCATATTGTAGTTGGACTAAGTTGGATTCTGTGATTGGATACATTTGTCTTGTAAAAAGCCTGGAGAAGACATTTGTTTATATTCGTTGTTTTGGCTTATCCTGGATGGGTCGCCAGGACTTCCCTCTCCCCTGATACCTCCTCCAGCTCCTCTGGGGGAAGCCTGATTCCTTCCCAGGCCATCCGAGAGACACTGTCCCACCAGCGTGTCCTGAGAACACTCCTGATGGGACATGCATGGAACACCTCCCTCAGGAGTAATGGCATTGTAATATTGTTAAACTGAAATGTATGATCCCGAACCAATTTAATAAATTTTCAAAAAGCCTTACCCAATTTACCACAAAGATGTAGCAACAAAGAAATAAATACTGGAATAATGTTATCTGAGACATCTTCATAAAGTGTTCCAAGTCAATGTTTTCGAAAGATTTTCTTCATTCATAGACTAAACCATCTATTTCTGGATGTGGAGTAAAATTCATCAAGATAAAAAAAAAAAAAAAAAACAGGAGGAGGGCAAAAAAGCAGAGCATCACTGCTAAAAAAAACAAAAAAAAAAAAAAAAAAAAAAAAAAGATCATCGGCTCCACTATGGTGGTTAAAAAGCTTTCAGATACTGATGAGATTTGCTGTTTGCTGATTTTTGATCTTATAAATAACTGCTGTTTTATTGAAATAAAGGGTTCTAATTTATATATTTTTTTCCATTGCAGTTTTTCTAATATTTCTCTTTTAATTTAGGCTCAAATATAACTTTACTGCAAGTTAGGATAAATCAACATTTTAGCCATTTTTTAAATGTAGATTTTTGATGATCTGTTTGTTAACTAGATATATATTAAGTTAAAAAGTTCAAAATATTTTTTCCCCCTGTTTGATTCAACGCTGTGATCTGTGGCTTGAAGCAAAGGTTATAAATTTAAGTTGGAAAAAGAAGAAAATGTTAAAGATTAAAACAAAACAAAACTTTTCTCAATTCCACTATACAGGAATTGATCCAGTTTCAGAAAAAAAAATGTTTCTTAAGTTTTAAACACATATTTAAAAATCTGGCATAACAAAAAAGAAAAAAAATGTAACAAAGATATCAGTAGAAAAAGTCTCGGTTGGGCACAGATGGCTCTTTTATACTATTTTGCCTGTATTGATCTTAAGGGACATATTCCCTCCCCTGATGTCTGTAGAGACACATCCAGACCATGAATGATCAAATGTGGAGAGCGAGTGAAAAATTAGATGAACAGAACGTGTTAGAAGAATGGAAAAGTCAGAGGGGTTTAAAGGGGAGGGGGCCGCATGCTTTTAGTGCATGACCTTGCGACCCCTTTTAGCCATGCCTTCTATGCTCCATCTCCCCACCTCCATATCTCCCCTCCTATCTATCCATCTCTCCTGTGATTGATGGCTCAGAGACAGCTGATCAATGCCTGATGCTTCTGTTTCTCTGTTTGTGTTGATCTGTGTGTTTGTTGGGCTACAGTGGATGAGAAAAGGGCCTCCTAAGTGAGAACAATTTGTCAAATGTCCAAAGAAAATGCTTGATGGTTTAGATTAGTGCGGATAATGGAATATCCTCTATTCTGTAAGTGTGTGGGGGTGTATGTGTGGTCCAACCTTTGTCCTTTGTTATTTTCTTGATGGGTGCAGCAGAGTTGGTCAGTGCAACATCAGCATCACCTGACACCAATCCTGTTTGAGAGAAGACATTGGCAGTCATCATCTGAGAGTGAGTGTGTGTGTAAATATGAGCGTAAACACTGTGTTTGCAAATATGCACCATATGTGTGAGGAAAAGGCTGCAGGTCGAGTTCCCTCCTTCACTCGTTTCTATCTATCCAGCACTCACATATCACCACCTCACTTCAACCATATACCTCAGCCTTTGTGGGTTTAATTTGAAAATATATGGAGCAAAACTGAACAGAAAATGAACAATTTCTTTTAATGAAGACTGTCAGTTTGCTAAAATGGACGCCTGTGTTAAATGGGTGGGTTTTACAAACCAGATCAAAAAGGCGACTGGCTCAATTTCCTTGTTCTGATTCACGCCCTGTTTCTGATGCTTATTAACCTGACTCCGCCAGATGGATTTCCTCCGCATATCCATCTGGAAAC